TTATTATTATTATTATTATTATTATTATTATTATTATTATTATTATTATTATTATTATTATTATTATTATTATTATGATTATTATGATTATTATTATTATTATTATTATTATTATTATTATTTATATCAGCCACACAAAAGCCATCGTTGAAAACTAAGCACCTAATCATATTGTTAATAATTCAAGAAAACCAGTTTGCAACTATGATATAGTAAACAGTAACATAGCCTAAAAGCTTTCATTAGTTTGCAACATGATGTAACGTAATGGAAACATATAAGGCAAAGTCTTTCCCGAATATGAATGTTAATAAATTTTTAAAACAATTTAAATATTTTATTTGTATTTAATACGTATTGACATAAAATAATTACAGGATTAAGTAAATGGTCATAAAAAAAGTTTTACTTTTGCGATAATTGTTACTTAAATATGATTTAAAGAGAATGTCTTTTAAAGTTTTTTCTTACTAAACTAAATCCTAATATGATTTTTTAATCTTTCACGATCCAATGGTTTAGTAACCGAATTTAAAATAACATTTACCAATTACGGATTTTTTATTATATCTTAATGATAATCAACGTAGACTGGGTAGCAAAGCTATCCACACTTGCTACTCTAGTTTTAATTACGACATTATAAGAAGGTACGGTAAACCGGGTTTAATACAAAATACCTGAGATAGAAATTAGATTATCCAATAGGTTAATATAATTTCATTATAAGTTTAATAATCGAAGTTCAAATTGCGCGTTACAGTAGTATTATATAATATTTGGCATCTGGATTTGGCATTAACTGTGCACATCTATAAATTATATTCTCGTTAATTATGAATGTTAAAGTTTACGAAGATAGATTCTTTATTTATCTGCTATCGTTATTGATTTAATTTTTTCTATTTAAAAAATTCATTACAGGTCGAAGTAGGTTCGACTTTTTGGTATTACAAAGAATATTAACGATAAAGGCACTAATAAATATAATAAATAAATAAACAAAGTAAAAATAATTTATAACAATCTTTACTAATTTAAATGTAAAATTTGATGTTTGATGATCCTTTTGATGATTGACGAGCCTTTGACGAATTTATTTAACCGACCATTGAAATATCAAATACAGGTGCTTCTTTATAACGACCTTTGGAGACATCGATATCAAAGACACTATTGAAATATATTTAGAGTGGTGAAATAGTTCACTACTATTTTAAAATTGGTGTTGAATTGGTAAATTAATTTTAGCAGCATATCTAATCAATAATGAATCAAAACTTCCAAATAATGTCACTTCATTATCTGTATGAAAACGGTAATTTTTAAATTGATGATGGCCTTTTTTTATCAAGTCTGCATATAAAATAACTTATACACAAGCTCACATGAAAAGTTAGTTTTCTTATGCTTCATCAATCGTCATAGGTTTTGTTCTTCATCATTCAGAACATGACGAAAGATTTTAGTCATTTGTCGATTCTTTTATTTATTAATTGTTAAAAGTATTTCACGCATATTCAAATTGGAATACATTAGTTGTGATTTATATATTATTAAACTGAGATGGATACGCTTCCGGAGATAGCAATACAGCTGTTCTCATAAATTTTGGAACATCTAGTAAAAAATTGATCGAATGTTAGCTAATTCAATAATTTATTGTTATTACACGATGTCTGACGTAACGATCCCGCACCAATAAGTAAATGAAAAAGCATGGGTTGTCACATAAGACCCGTGCAATAAGTTTTTGATTTCGGTAATGACCGATTACGTAATAATATGTATATCTTGCTAATGTATATTGATACCCTATTTTATTGATGCGCTTCAGATAATTTGAATATTATATTAGATTCAGCTGCTAATACTTCAGACAAAGTTAGATATTCATAGTTACTTCAGACCAGTGTTGGGCAATTGGACAGTTTTGGGTTTTGGACACCATGTCCAAAACCTGCCCAAAACCTTGTCCAAAACCTGCCCAAAACCTTGTCCAAAACCAAACCTAAATTTAATTGGTTTTGGACAAATATTATATATATATAATTTATTTAATAATTTTCGGGACACTTAAAGATCAAGGAACCCAGTGATATCTTCGTGATAATCACATCACATGAAATCATGCAACTACGTCATTTGTTTACTAGCACTAAACAAATTAGCCTAAACTAACCTATCACCTAACCCTAACACTAACCCTAATGTACTAGCACTAAACAAAATTAGCCTAAACTAACCTATCACCTAACCCTAACACTAACCCTAACGTAGGCCGAACACTTAATCATATGATGTGATTATCACGAAGATATCACTGGGTTCCTTCTTCCCTAATTTTCATTAGCCAATCAAATGTTTTCTAACAAAATTATTCTATATTTGCTCGAATAATATCTAGAGAGTGGAGTTTAAAATTTTGGCCTGTGTTAAGCATAATTCGGGCCAAAATTTTAAACTACACTTCTAGGTGTTATTATTTTTTTAAACCCCTAACCATGTTAGTTGAAGACATCATGTGATACAATTCTGGGTGTTATTTTAAATATTCCATTTTTAAAATTGAATAGTACCGGGTACTATCCATGACTCCAGTGATTTATTTAGTGGATAAGGGGTACATTATGTAGTAGAATATTATCCGAAGGGGATACTTTATACAGTAAATGGTAATAACATTTACCATAAAATATGAAAAATAAGCACAGCACCCACTACCCTGCTTTTTTCAATTTCAGATTAACGGTAATCATAATTAAAGATTTTATTGCTATTTCCACTAATCTAAAATTAAAAAAAAGTAGGGTAGAGGGTACTGTGCTTATTTTCCATATTTTATAGTAATTTATTTATTTAAATATAAAAATAAAATATTATATTTTGGACAATTTTAGAGGTCGCCAAAAGCCAGGTAGTTTTTTAAATTGATTACTAACAAATTTGCAATTTAAAATTCACGTGATACATATAGGTTACTACTAGGCTTTAGACGATCCCAATTTTGGACAATTTTGGACAGTTTTGGACATGTCCAAAACTATCCAATTAAAAAATTTAATTGGACATGTCCAATTCCCAATACTGCTATAGATGAACAAGCTAAAGGTTCCTTGTTAACCGTAGGGATTGTTCGGTCCACTACGGTTGACTACGATCGGTTATCGGCTCTTAGCCGGTTAGCCGATTAGTTTATGCGGCTAATACTAGTAGCTGTCTATAGCTGATCAATTATTTAATCAATTATTAAATAAGAATGAATCAATATAAATGTGCTCTAGAAATATATAAATGCACACTAAGAGTATATAAATCTACATAGGGGTATTGATTAAATCTTGCCAAAGAAATTATGTTTACCATTTATAAATAATAGAAAGATCGTTTTAAATTTTATCGGATCAATTAAAAAAAGGAGTTGTAAATCTTGAAATAGACATATTGATATGGAAATATTAATTTTGCTAGTGCTAATACTACGCATATATAAAAATTTGGAATTAAGCTAAGCTTGAAAATCAGGGTCATTGCTAATCATAGATTTAATTTTATCCCTATCTTCTTTCATTCGCCTTTTACAATCCTCCAATTGTCGTTGCCAATCAATTCTACAAATAATAGTAATAACAATAATACAAACTATAAATGAACATATCATCACTCCAAACCAAAGACCTTGTAATCCATATCCTAAATAAAAAGCTGTAAGTATACTGATAGGTATTCCTACAAAGAAATATCCAGGGGTGTTAAAAATTGCGATAATAAATTGGCGGCCTTGCCCACGAAGAATACCATATCCGATTGCGTTTATACTATCAGTTATCTTATTATAAAGCGTAAAGAAAATAAACTTATTAATATCAACTGATAATATATATATTCAATGAAAATTTTAAGTAAATATAATTGAATAATTGGATACCGCAAAAATGCCAACCAATGGTAAGACATAAGATGTACATTTGACTACATCATCGTCAAAAGTGAATAAGTATCTATAGTAGAAATAATTTACGAATAAATTAAATAAGTAAATGTACAGAAATTAAACTAAATTATATAATTTGATTGCAACTTAACCCCAAAATATCCTTGAAACCTATCAAGATGGCTGCATTAAATAAACCAACAATAATAGCGAATTGCATGGAAATTTTTGAAGCCATTTTGGCCCTTTCTACTTTACTAGCACCCAATAAATTTCCAACATGATTTGATGCTGCTATAGAGACTCCATATGGTAATTGATATATAACAGTAATTATAGTAGATATTATGCCCTGGGATGCAAGTGAAAGTTCACCAAGATATCCAGCAAGAAAAGAAATAAATTCAATTGCCCACCACTCCGAACAGACCATAAAGATACCAGGAATCATTAGTGTAAGGATAGGTTTCCAACCATGAAATGCAGCACGTGACCATCCACCCCAGGCTTGATATCCATTAATGAATTTAGTGTAAATGACAAGAAAGAAAAACATCAACCAATAGGTAATAGCTGTGGAAATAGGTGCTCCAATAAACCCAAGTGATAGTGGTTTATACCAAACTAACATGAAATTCAAGCATACATCAATTATACAACAGATTATTAATACATATGTAATAGCACTCATTATCCCTACGTATTGATTACGTGTGTTAATTAATTAATATCAGATATTAAATAATTAATCAATCAATAATATGTGATTTAACGTTACCTTGGGCTAATAAATATCTCTCCAAATTTACGAACATCAAATATGCAGGAGCTCCAATCAATAAATATCTAAGAAATAAAGCAGCTTGTGCAGAAATTTCGGGAGATTGACGAAGGAAGATTAAGATCTTTTCTGATTCCCACCAAATACAAGCGATCGGGATAAATCCTAACAAATTAATGATAATGGCACGTTGTAAATATACTCCAACCATTTTCATGTTGCCAGATGTATAAGCTTGCGAACAAAAGGTATCAAGCGCTGTCGCAGCACCATACATAACTGATATAAATGTAATAAAAGAGACCTAATTGTTTAAAAATATTATTAGTTAAGCAATAAATAGTTTGCAAAATTTGTTGAATAAAAATATTTATATATTTCAAATATATATATGATATATCTTCCATTATAAAATTCATGTAACCCATTTTTTGATTTAAACTCAATATGTATATGTCAAATTCCCTGAAGTGTCTTTGTAGTGAGTGCGACGGATTTTATATAGGGCAATTCCGTGTTAGAGTTATAATATTGCAATAAGCAACTTCTATTGTAATAGTAAAATTCTCATGTGGCATTTTGCTTTTGCACAATTTGATAATGCATACCGCCTACCAGAATATTTCGACCCAGAATCGCCCTGTGTAAATTTCTTTTTTTTATGAGATATACTAAATAAGGTTATTAAACTACATATGTTACATTACATAGTAACGCTGAAATGGTTTAAGATACTTGTTTTAGCATCTATATTAATCTATGTGTAGCTAATTCCTTTAATACTAACCAAAATTAACATTAAAGCCTGCTTTAGCATTTTGGATTTGTAATTAACATGGATCATGTAATTTATAACAGAAGCTTTAACAACCCTAGTACTAAACTATTTCCATTTGATGATTTGACCTCACTAACTTAACCAGAGACCATTTGACCCAATAATTAACAAACCAATCAGATATATACTGTAAATATGATTATTACCATTGAAGCCAGTGTTGAGGCGGCCAGTTCTGTTGAACCCTAATTAAATTTTAATTTAAATTTAAATTTTTTTTTTACTAAAAGTAACTCTTTATTTGACTTATAATTTTAAGTGCAACACGTTACCAAATGACCGAGTGATAATACACTAATGAACTGTAATGCAAATAATAATAGATATGCCAATATAACGGGAATTGATTTCCGAATAATATATCCCCTTTCTGCCCATTCATTGGAATCCTCATATAATATCATCTCATCTCTGATGTTATCTTCAATAACGTCATTTTTCTGATTTATTATTTCTGTTAAATTATCCTTTGATATAGTTGACATTGCTTTTCTTTAATATCATACTTTAAGTAATTAATAAATTTTGAGATGTGAATAAGCCAGAATTTTACTATAAGTATAATATATATAAGGAATTGACATTATGTTACTTCCATTTACCCCCTAATATATAAATTTCTTACGGCCTTATTTTAAATTTTTTTGACCCACCCCAAAAATTGAAACTAACCAGCATCCTAAGTTTATATATATGTTGTACCCCCAGATTGGAATTGACCCGATTCAGAATCGGGCTACTCCGGATGGGAATTTTACAAACTATTTTGATAGAATTAGAACTTTGGCATAATATTGGCCAAAATTACAAAATTCTCATCTGGGAACATCCTCATTCTGAATTGGGACAATTCCAATCTGGGGTACAACTTTTGTATATTTATTTTTATTTTATTTTATTTATTATTATTATTATTATTATTATTATTATTATTATTATTTTATATCAGCCACACAAAAGCCACCGTTGAGAACTAAGCAAATAACGCTAAAGACTTTCGAACCAAACCAATCATATTGTTAATTATTCAAGAAAACAAGTTTGCAACTATGATAATAAAATAGTAAACAATAACATAGCCTAAAATCTTTCTTTAGTGTGCAAACAAACTTTCACATGATGTAATTTGGCGCCTTTTAAAACATATAAATTAAAGGTTATATGAATATAATTATTTAATTTTCAAATTTTTTATTTTACATGATATGGAAAAAATATTTACAGGGTTGAGTAAGGTGATACAAAAAGGTTCACACATAACCCTATAAGAAAAGTAGTTCGGTGTATGGTACGGGAAAGCAGTGTATATACATGGGATAGTACGGATCGTGTGGCACGTATAGGCACGTTTTACGGAATGGCACGGTTAAAAATGAAACGGGCATTATGGCAGTATTATGGCATGCATATCACACGGAATGACACGTATATGCACGTTGTACGTTATGGCACGTTTCATTTACGGAATGACACGTGTTGGCTCATTTCACGGAGTAAAATAAGAGCGAAAGATCATAAACGATTTTCTTTAAAAAAAATTGCAATATCTCAAAAGCTCGCAAACAAACCTGCTCTGGTATCTTAAGGAAAAGGATTTCTTACACATTTGAAGTTACTTTAGTTTCCAGATATGTACATACTCCAATTCTTACCAGTCCTTTTTTAATAAACTGCCTATTGGAAAGTGGATCGTAAATTTATGTTTACTTACTCTAGATTATGGTACTGTGGCGTATGCCATAATTAATTATGAATAAAACCTTGAATGCTGTAAAGGCAATGTCTATTAGCTCTACTTACTATTTAAATTGTTTTAACTTTCTTAAACAACTATAAAATAATAAATATACAACAATACTACTTTCATTTTATTGAACCTTCTCAATTTATCAATGCTCATAATCTTTCATTGTATCTTTCTAATTTTTTTATCACATCTTCCCAATTTTTCATTACAGTATTTCAGCAATACAACATTACGACTTCAAAGCATTATGCAGCTACGTTTATATAGAATTACAGACATTACGGTTTACGGTTTTTACAGAAAATTGATCACTATCTTAACCTAATAAATAAAATCCAACGTCAATTATGTACGCACATATGTAGTGCATACAAAAGAACTCTGAAATCATCAGGAAGTTCGAAAGGTGTTAAATAACTAACGAAAAAGTATTAACCTATATTGGGTTTGTTAAACTACACTTTTTATTAATAAAATTAGTATTAAATAACACTTTATGTGTTAAACAACTTTAGTTATTCAACTGTATATCATGTCAACAAACATGATATATAGTTAAATAACTAAAGTTGTTTAATGTATAAAGTGTTATTTAATACTAATTTTATTAATAAAAAGTATAGTTTAACAAACCCAATATAGGTCAATATTTTTTTATTAGTTATTTAACATCTTTTGAACTTCCTGATGATATATCTAATCTACAATGTTATGCATGTGGAAAGAAAGGACACTTCTTTAAAGATTGTAAACAAAATATATATTTCAAAGGATTTAAATCTTTTTATAACAAAAGATATAACTAGAATAGAGGACAAGGGCAAAAAAACCAATCCCGAAATTAACCTCAAAAACCAAAATAAATTCCAAAAGGCATTTACTTCAAGACCTGTTGGAAGATCTAAAAATCCAGATGCTAAAAATGGCAACTAAGAGAAAATTTTATACTGAAACCAATTGCCTAATTCCAACAAGAACAATGCTTCAAGGAAGTATCAAAACCAACCATGACATTCAACTAATATAAACAACTATGAGCTAAAAGATATATGGCTAATAAAAGAAAACTATATATACCTCAAAATAAACAAGGACCATTTAGACCAGGAAGATTCGACTCTAAATATGGAATCACATTCAAGAAACCTGAAGAAACTCAAAATAATGGAAACTTTAAAAGATTAAGAAAAAAGTATGATTCTAAATCACCGACTTGCACCAATTGTGGATCATACTCTCACGCAACTAAGAATTGTTATAAAAATGCTTCACCAATGGAAACCAACTATTTGAACAAAAGAAACAAGAAAACTTACTATCAAGAAGAATCCTCAGATTCTGAAACAACCTACATTGACTATGATGAA